TCGATTTCGATTTCGAAAAATCAAGGCTTTCTCGTCATAAACTATTCTTTAATGGTCGTGAAATAAAGAAAGAGAAGAATGAACTGAAGAATGAGCTGAGAAGAAAATTCGAGTATTTTGATTTGTGTAAAAGAGAAAAGAACGATCACAATCACAATCTCTTTGTGAACTCTTTTTGATCGTTCTTTTCTCTTTTACACAAATCAAAATACTCTAATTTTCAATGAGAAAATAATGATATATATGTTACGTCCGAATCTGAGGAGACGTCCATCTCCGATCCGGACGTCCGAATCTGAGGAGATTCATTCTCCTCCGAAACGGAGGTCCGACTCAGAGTCGGACGTCCATCTCTGAGTCGGACTTTCGTTTCAGAGGAGAATGAATCTCCTCAGATTTGGGCGTAACATATATATATATATATATATATATTCTTAGATAGTTTTGAAAGAATCTCAATAAATTTCTAGATCTTTAAAAGTTAAAAGAAAGAGAAACGAACTCTCACTCTTTTTCGACCAACTGTGTTTATTTATTTTTTTCTTTCGTAAACGGTCTTTTGGTGGGATTTCAATCGATCCCAACACGCACGTCATTTCACGAGAAAAAGAAAAGCAAAAGAGGTTTTTACTTTTTTTCTTTTCGTTCTCTCATTTTTCTCTTTTATTTCTTGTACAGTCAAGAATTTTCCTTTAAAGAAACCTTAAAGAAACCTTTCTTTTCTCTTTTTATTTATAAAAGATTAACTTTTGCGTAGCTTTTGAAATTTATTAAAAACAAAAATGAGTAATTTGATCTTTGAAATCGTTTTTAAATCGATTTATAGTTTTATTTTCTTACAAGCGATTCGATTTTTTTCAAAATTTAGCAAAAAGGCTTTAGTTTTCTGTTTGATTATACTTGATTTATTTAAAAGTCAGCTGAAATATCGTGTTAAGTATTCCATTTTTTTTTCTTTACGTTTGCAAATGTTTATCAAAACGATTCTTTTATTCGCATTCGATTTTATCAAAATTTAGCAAAAAGGCTTTAGTTTTTTTTTTGTTTGATGGGAAAGGATTTTGAAATGAATAAATTTTTGAAAAGACATCATCAAATTCGCTTTGATTACTCGATTTGCTTAAAAGTCAGCTGAAATATCGTGTTAAGTATTCCATTTTTTTTCTTTACGTTTGCAAATGTTTATCAAAACGATTCTTTTACTCGCATTTACCTTTTCTTTTCTTTGTTAAATCAAATTTACGTCAATTTGAGAAGTCAAAGAACTTTTTTTTTTCCTTTATCCTTTTCAATGTTTTATAATCTCCTCCAAAAATGATAGATAAACTTGTAAATATTGCTTAATCTCTCTTTTTCTCTGACTTTACTTACTTCTTATTACAATGAAGTATAATAGTGAAGCTTTCGCTTTTAATTTTCAAATGATCTCTACCAATTTTAAAACAAATCTAACTTCTGTAAAGATTTCAAATAGCGGAAATAATACTTTTCTTTCTTTCTAGCACACCATTTTTCGCGAAAAATTTGATTTTCTCAAAAATGGAGATCTTTAATATAGCTGAATGGAAATGTTAAACCATTTCTTTGTTAAATCAAATTTAAGTCAATTTGAGAAGTCAAAGAAAGTCTATCCTTTTCAATATTTTATAATCTCTTTTAAAAATGATAGATAAACTTGTAAATATTGCTTAATCTCTCTCTCTCTCTTTTTTTTTCTTTCACTTTATTTACATCTTACTTTCTTACAACAATAAAGTTTTTGCTTTTACTTTCAAATTTCAAATGATCTCTACCAATTTTAAAACAAATCTTTCTGTAAATATTTCATATAGCAAAAATAATGCTTACTTTTCTGTGAAGGTCATTGGATTTTTGAGTGATGTGAGTGTAGATTTGGATATTGAAAGAGAAGGGGGAAAAAAAGGTGGGAAAGGATTGCGAAATGGAGACATTTTTTGGATAACCATTTTTGGATTTATTTCATTTAAACATTTCCGTTTTTTAGAGTTTAAGATGACTTCTACTTTGGCTTTTTGACATATCTAGTTCTTTTTATTTTTGAAAACTTTGGAAACTTGTGTGCCAGATTGAAGCATAAATAAGCATAAGTATGGGCGAGTTTTGGAATCTCATAACTTTTATGGAGATTTTGCTAAACCCCCAATCTTATCCCATTATGTTGTTGTTGGAATAAAAAGTGTTGGAAGGGTTGGATGTAAAAATCGGCTACATTACTCCAATTTTTCATGTGTTTTTTCATTTCTCCATTCCTATTTTACGTCATTTTGTCATTTCTCTGAATGAAAACTTGAAAATACTTGGAAATTACTTAAAAACGAAATGAAAATTTTTACCTAACTTCTTTCCTATTTCATTTAAACTGAAGATGGATTAAAGATGGATTAGATTGGTTAAAGATTGATTAGATTGGTTAAAGATTGATTTAAAATCGTAAACGTAAAGATCTAACTTTCAATTCAGATGCACTGAAAGCAGAAATTTCTAAAAAACGATTTCAGTGCATCAGATGTTGAAAGTTTTTCGTGAAAATTCTTTCATTCAATCCAGGGTGGGACAAATGCTATCTTTTTTTTGCGCACCTGGACATTTGCGCACCTTTTGTTTTGCTGGAAAAGGCCTTAGGCAAGGCCGTAGAGCTTCAAAAATGTTTTCATAGAAGGGAATCGTATGCGTAGATTCCGAATTTCGACAAATCAGACCTCGCTGACACGTCAAATTTGGGCTAAAAGGCAAAAACTACGCAACTTAACGCTTTTCCGCAGTTTTTGCCTTTTAGCCCAAATTTGACGTGTCAGCGAGGTCTGATTTGTCGAAATTCGGAATCTACGCATACGATTCCCTTCTATGAAAACATTTTTGACGCTCTACGACCTTTCCTAAGGCCTTTTCCATCAAAAAAAAGGTGCGCAAATGTTCCACCCCCATTCAATCAATCAATTCCTTTGTGATTATCAAATTTCCACCTTTTCCTCCATTTTCATATCGAATTTTGAAACCACAATAAACAAAAAAAAATAGTTAATCATAGAAAAAAAAAGAATGGAAATATTTCACGATTGTTTCTTTTTTAAAAAAAAAAGGCGAGAAATTCTTTAATTTCTGGCATTTTCATTGGAAAAAGGTTTAGGAAAAGTTTATTCTCAAAAATAATTTCTCTAAAAATTTTCACTTTATGACTGTAAAATCTAAAATTTACATTTTATACCAAACTTTTTGTCTTTCTCTCTTCTCTTTCTTTCTTTCTCTTTCTTTCTCTTTCTTTCTTTCTCTTTCTTTCTCTTTCTTTCTTTCTCTTTCTTTCTTTGTATCCTTCTGTATCCTTATCTCTTTCCTCTTTCCAATGACGTCACTTTTTCATTTCTTTTGTCGGTTTCGATTTTTTTGCCTGGCAAAAAAAGACACTCAAAGATTTCTCTAACTTTCCATTCGTTTTTTTTATTCTGATAAGTTTTATTGATTAATGATTCGAGAATTTGATGATTTTTGAGTAAATGGAATGATTAGAAGTTGGTTATTTAAAAAAAAGCTCATTGAAAGAGATACTAGAATTTCGAAATTTCCTTAATCATTAGCAAAATCAAAATTTTATATCATAATTTGTTTACTGTTCAAACGCACACGTTCTGGCATGCTCAAGAAGAAACCCAAGTGTGCCAAATGCGTGCGTTTATACGAGCGTGCCTTTATACAAAGTATGCGTGCGTGCGTGCGTTTATACAAATGCGTGCGTTTATACAAAGTATGGACGAGTTTTCAGGAAGGACTGGGTAAATGTTCCTAGTGTCCTACAGCAAACACTGTCTAGAGTATACATGTTCCTTTGTCCATTGATCGCCCATTGATCGTCCTTTGATTGTCCATTGATTGCCCATTGATTGCCCATTGATCGCCCATTGATTGTCCATTGATCGTCCTTTGATTGTCCATTGATCGTCCTTTGATTGTCCATTGATCGTCCATTGATTGTCCATTGATCGTCCATTGATTGTCCATTGATCGTCCTTTGATTGTCCATTGATCGTCCATTGATTGTCCATTGATCGTCCTTGATTGTCCATTGATCGTCCATTGATTGTCCATTGATCGTCCTTTGATTGTCCATTGATCGTCCATTGATTGTCCATTGATCGTCCTTTGATTGTCCATTGATCGTCCATTGATTGTCCATTGATCGTCCTTTGATTGTCCATTGATCGTCCATTGATTGTCCATTGATCGTCCTTTGATTGTCCATTGATCGTCCATTGATTGTCCATTGATCGTCCTTTGATTGTCCATTGATCGCCCATTGATTGCCCATTGATCGTCCTTTGATCGTCCATTGATTGTCCATTGATCATTGCTGATCTCTAATCATTTCCCTTATCAACAATACTTACTAGATAAAAGCGAAAACTCAATCTAAAATGACATCATCTCAAAAAATTCCGAAATCTTTCCCCAATTTTCTCTCCAAAATTGTGTTGATTCCCGTTTTTTGTCCCCTTTTTTTTCCCATTTTCTCTCTCAAAATCCCGTTCACTTATGATCGTTTGTAAATTCAATGACGTTTTCTCTCTCTCTCTCTCTCTCTCAACAATCACTTCTTTGTTTATTGTATTCTATTTTTAGATTTAAAACAAAATCTATTTACATATTCCGTTTTGAAATAAAATGTAAATATACATCGTGTCAAGAATTTGCTACAGCTTGATTCGTAAACTTTAGACATCTGATGCACTAAAAGCTCCCGTTTAAGAGCTTCCGAAAAAAGCTAAATAAGCTAAGTAAGCTAAATTAAACTCGAAATCAATCTGCAATTCTGGATTTTCAACTCTTACCTTTTCTTCCGCTTATCACACAACTCATTTCGAATTTCTCTTCGTTTTTTTTTGAGATTTCTGGAAATCTTTTTTAACTCTTTGATCTCTTTCATCATATTCACTTTTTCAATTCAACTTTTAGACAAATTTCTTCTGTTTTATGGATAAAAATCGAAAATGACTGTATCTGAGTGTGTCGAGATTGAAATTGAGGCGAATCAATTGGCGGAAATCATTTTAGGGAAACGAGAAGCGGGTGAGTGCAAAGAAAAAGCGAAATCGCTTACTTGAATTGCTTTAATTGGAAAATTGGAAAATGTTTAGCTTACTATAAATATGCGATAAAGCACCATATTTAATGTGAATGCCAAAAATTATTTTCAGTGATTGTCGATTGCCGTTGCTTTTCCGATTACAATCATCTTCATGTCAAATCAGCAGTGAATGCTTTTTATTCGAAATTGATGAGGAAAAGGATCGAAGCAAATAAGGTTCGGCGAAAGAGTTTTTCATTTTCATTTTCATTTATCTGAATACAAATTCTTGAATTCCCGAGGGAATTTCCAAGCTCATCAATTTTTATTTTACACTTTTCCATGTTTCACGATCATTTTTCTCTTTTCTTTTATTATTGGGTTGGTGAGCTGAAAACTGCGGGACTTTGAACTAAAATTTATTGGACATAAAACCATGAATTCATTCCAAATAATTTCCATTATTATTGACGACTTCTGTGAATTTTACAGACAATTTGCGGATTCCTCTTTCGTAGTAGGATTTTGGTTTTGAATCGAAAAACTCTCAAAGCCAATTTTTGATTGCTTCTTCCGAATCGAAGTGTTCTCCCGCAAGCTCATTACTCCTTGCTCCGGAATAAATAGCAATCAAAAGGGGCGAGGTCCGGACTGTATGGGGATTTGAGTGTTGAGCTTCTGCAAAAGCTTGGAAACCGTAAAATAGTCACCAACTCGGCTCGCTTGGGTGCACTATCATTGGGTTGGTCAATTGAAAACTGCGGGACTTTGAACTAAAATTTATTCAACATAAAACCATCAATTCATACCAAATAAGTTCCATTATTATTGACGACTTCTGTGAATTTTACAGGCAATTTGCGGATTCCTCTTTCGTAGTAGGATTTTGGTTTGTGTGTGAGACAAGTGTGAGACTCAAAAATCGAGGACTGGAGATGTCCGATGTCCCAGTTTGAGCACTTTCTTCGAAAGAAACCCATTTTGGTGTCAGAAGAAAAGTTGTAGAGAATCAAAAATGAGGCTTATAGCCAAATTTCCAAAAAGATACACTTAGTAGTTTCGCTTAAAATGCAAGTTTTGTGAAAGTTTCGTAAATTTGGCACTTCTTCAAAACCAGTTTTTGAATCGTTCTGAAAATTTGGATATAAGCTTGATTTTTGATTCCCTACAACTTTTCCATTGACACCAAAATGGGTTTCTTTTGAGGAAAGTGCTCAAACTGGCACATATGACAATAGCCCGCAGTTTTCAATTCACCAATCCAATAACAACATAATGACAATAAGAAATTCAATTCACCAGCCCAATACATCTAATTCCTGATCACATTGTGTCATTCCTTTTCAAAAAAAAACGGAAAATTATCATAAATTTCTTTGATGAATCGAACATTTCGTATTTTATCATTAAAAAATTAAAAAAATAAGAAGTTTAAACAAAAAGCATACCGTTTTTTTTCTTTTAGATTGACTCATTTCTCTTCTTTCTTTTCAATTACTCACAAATTCAACAAAAATTAACAAAAATGAACAAAAAACAACAATAAAATACAAAAATTTGATGAGTTTATTGAGAAAATATCCTTTTTAGTGATGAACTTTATTTCAAAAACATTTTTGTTTTAAAAGATTTAGGGATTTTTAAAGGGTAAAGTCTTTTGGAAACAATAGATTGAAAGAAACAAAAGAGTTACAATTTCAATTCTAGGTTACGATACTTTAAAGTAGGATTGAAAACAGTGAAAGAAGAGTACGAGAAGATACTATGCAAAAATGACTGAAAACCTAACAAAAGTTGCCCTATCAAAAACATAGTTCATTGCCGGCAATTCTTGTTCATTTCTAAATCATTTTCCCCTAGGATCAATGACTCAATTCATTCATTTTCTCTTCATTTTCCCCTTTTTCATTCATACGAGAAGATACTATGCAAAAATGACTGAAAACCTAACAAATGTTGCCTTATCAAAAATCTAGTTCATTGCCGGCAATTCTTGTTCATTTCTAAATCATTTTCCTCTAGGATCAATGACTCAATTCATTTATTTTCTCTTCATTTTCCCCTTTTTCATGATACATTCAGAATTTCTTTCAAATATCTCATTTTTCTTCTTCTTTTCCTGCTTTCATTTACCCGTTACCCGTTGGCTATTCCTATGAATCATTTTAAGAGATTTTTTGAGAGAGAAACTCGTTTTATTCTCACTTGAGTCATGAATTCATTGATGAGTGAAAAGCGGAAAAAAGCGGAAACTCGAAACTTATTGAAATAATGAATTTTGGAATGTTAAAATGAGATGAAATGAGATTTGTTGTTGAGAAAATATAGTTTTATTGATTTGTTTCAGTTCTTTTTTATGAAATCTTTGTTTCAGAAAACACTTTTTTTTTTAAGAAATTTTGAGAGGGTAAAATCTTTTAGAATCAATTGATTACAAGAATCAAGAAAAGCTACAATTTCAATTCTAGATTACGGCACTTTGAAGTAGATTAAAGATATGGGGAAAGAAAATACGAGAACACTATGCAAAAAAATGACTGAAAAGCTAACAAATGTTGCCTTATCAATAAACTAGTTCATTGCAGAAAATCCTTGTTCATTTATTCATTTAAAGTTCATTTCCCAGTGTTCAATGACTCAATTCATTCATTTTCTCTTCATTTCCCCCCTTTTTCATGATACATTCAGAATTTCTTTCAAATATCTCATTTTTCTTCTTCTTTTCCTGATTTCATTTACCCGTTACCCGTTGGCTATTCCTATGAATCATTTTAAGAGATTTTTTTGAGAGAGAAACTCGTTTTATTCTCACTTGAGTCATGAATTCATTGATGAGTGAAAAGCGGAAACTCGAAACTTATTGAAATAATGAATTTTGGAAAATGATGATTTATGTTAACAAACAAACGAACAAACACGCTCACGAACGTTTGCGTTTTCCACACAATCTAAGCCGGACCCCATTTTGCCAATGACTGCGCACAGCCAGACGGACAGACATCTCTTCTGATCGACGTCCCTTCTGCTTTATCTAAAGTCGTTTTAGCAAATTCAGCGGTACTATAGTATTAAATACCCTATCAAAATTTGGATTCCAAAAAAAGAATTACATTCAACTAATTATGCCTCAATGGGAATAACCCCCCGACCACTTTTGTGCTTTAAAAAAATCATCAAAACTAACAAAGACCATTATTTAAAGCTTTATAATTGGGAGCCATTTTGCTGGGATTTTGTTGATAAGCGAATATTGTTTAATCCAATTTTCATTCGGCAACCATAAACTCGGCAAGGCAAGAAGCTAAGTGGTGTCAGTCGATTCTTCAATGTTGTCTTGTTGTTCAATATTATGCGACTAGCAAAAGCGACTTTGAATCAATATTCATTTCTCATGGAGATAAACGATGACAGCTTTCTCGTTTGTTGGAAAAGAAGACATCTAGCCGAATAGACATGAAAAGGAATGAAAAATGATAGAAAAGTTGAAGAAAAAATTCATCAATAGAGGATTTCATCGAATTTGTCGAGGCCAAATCCCATTGTGGATTGACGGGGGGTTTATTCCTATTGGGGAATGGGGAACGGGGAATGGCAAGGGTTTAATGTCATAGTACCAATTCAACTTTCAGTCTTAATAGCTTAATATCTATCTTCCCCCTACAGTATACTTGGATTTAAAAAAAATAGCTAACGATAAGCTAACGATAGCTAACGATAGCTAAAAATAGCTAACGATAAGCTAACGATAGCTAAAAATAGCTAACGATAAGCTAACGATAAGCTAACGATAGCTAAAAATAGCTAACGATAAGCAATAGAATTGATTGCAATAGAGCAAATGTATTTACTCGAATAGAAGACCGGTCTTCTATTTTTTTCAATCACCTCCTAGACCCCGTCTTCTATTCGAGACGGTCTTATAATCGAGGCCGGTCTTCTATTCGAGTAAATACGGTATCTTCTAATTGTTTCTATTGGAAGATGTCTTATTGACTAACAAACTTGCAAATTTTGTAAAAAACTTCGATAAAGAAGAGTTACTAGAATTTGCACAACATCTTTGTACTATAAAAACAAAGTTTCTTTAAGATTTCTTAACTCTTTCTAAAGCTTTTTTGCTTCTCGATTTCCAAATCTTCAATGCTTTTATGGTTCTTTTTTATTTCTCCGATTTGCGTTGAAGGATGTGATGAAAACCCTGAAGACTTGAGAGGAAAAAGGGAATGTTTCACAATTGCTCCTTCTCCTTTTTTTTTCTTCTTCTTTTCAATGCTTTCATCATCCACCCACATGTTAGATATGTTCATCCATTTGACTAGGGATGCTTACAGTTTCGCCTTTCGAAATGAGCCTTAGCTCATTCGATTGGAAATTTTTCTTCTGATTCTGAACATCATAATTAAAGATGAAAGGGGGGTGGAAGAGGAGCGCTCAAACCGTGCCTCGTAGCCTACTGGTTAGTGCGAGCGTCCGATGAATTTTTGCTAGTGAAACTGGCTTTTTTCTGATCTCAAAAAAGTTCCTGATTTTTTAAAGGTTTTTTGAATTTCTGGAACACCATTTTTGTGAAGTTTACAATGCCTAGTTGCGCTCAAACCGTGCCTCGTAGCAGTAGCCTACTGGTTAGTGTGAGCGTCCGATGAATTTTTGCTAGTTCGATTGGAAATTTGTTTCTGATTCTGAACATCATAATTAAATGTGTGCTAAGTGAGGTGGGAAGAGGGTTAAAAATGGCCTCAAAGTTTATGATTTTTTGAGAGGTTTTTTTAGAATTTCTGGCACACCATTTTCGTGAATTTTACAATGCCAATTGTGGCATTGTAAACTTCACGGTTCCATCACAAACAGTGCCTCGTAGCCAAGTGTGGTTAGTGTGGGCGTGCTATGCATTTTTGCTGGTTTAAAGCCCTAGTTCAAAGCAAAGTTTTTCACCATTTTGCAAAATGATTAAAAAATTATTTTTTTTTTAAGTATCTACTATATACAAATCACTAAAGAACTTTCTTCAAAAAAGCAATTTTTTTTCTCCAATCGTATCTCCAAATATCATCTTAAACCTCAAAAATTTGTAGCTCACAAATCTCTAATTTTTGTATAAAGCAAAAATCCGAAATGGGCACGTTCAGGTGAAAAATTTGATGATTTTAAATGGCAATTTTTATAGGCGACAATTGATATTTCAGAGAGATTGAGAGAAAAGGAAAAGATTGGAGGAAAGATTGGAGGAAAGATTGGAG